TGGTTCGTTTGTTTTGTTTTGTTTTACGGCATATCAACCTCAATGGGTTATTTAATGTCGACAACATTTTTATTGCTGGTAATATATTTTTTTTCAAAAATGTATTGCTGATAATATTTTTTCATTCAAAAATCTATTTCTGCTAATATTTTTCTTCAAAAATATATCGCTGGTAATTTTTTTTTTTTCAAAAATGTATAGCTGGTAATATTTTTTCAAAAATATATTGCTGGTAATATATATTTTTCCAAGAATGTATAGCTGGTAATATTTAAAAAAAAAACGTATAGCTGGTAATATTTTGTTTTCCAAAAATGTATTGTTGGTAATAATGTATTACTGGTAATAATTTTTTTCTTCAAAAATTTATTGCTGGTAATAATTTTTTTACAAAGTATTTCTGGTATTTAAACCTATTTTTACATTTTCATCGTGCGTTGACCCCAGTTTGGGGTTTAACTATTTACCCATAGCTGGGATCCTAATAGGTGCTATCAACCCGGGTCAGTGTGGACCTGGGAGCATCAGCAATTAAGAGGTGGTTCCACGCTCCTCAAAACCTCCTGATCAGAAGCCTTGCTGTTAGGCATAGTTTATCGTCTTAACCAGGACGGGTTGGGCACTTGAAAATGTATCAAAGGAATGACCCTATGAAGCTTCCGTTATCAGTGGTTGAGAAAAAGCCCCGAAGTTAATTCTGTATTCTTTTCTGTCTATATATCTGAGATGAGGTATTGTAACTATTTACATTGTTCGAACTTTTTGTCCTCATCTTTATTGTCATATTCGCAACGTTTCAGCTGTTCAGGTGACATACGTTGGAATTTCGAAGTGAACTTTTTATTTAGTCCACCGGGGTAGTGTGTTCTAGTTCCAGTTCCATTTTCTGGATATCTCAGTTTTCAGTTAATTCGCTTTAGTAACTCTCTGCTGTGACCAGGCATTGAACTCTTTGAGTCAAATCACTTTTGCATTACTTCAACCAACACTTTCATCAGCTGACCCATGTGTCTCCATTGACGTCATGAATATTACAATAAAGATGACAACAACAGTCCGAACAATGTAAATAGTGTAAACTGTTCTCCTTTATATACACTTTATTGAAAACAGCTGCTGGATCTTAAGCGGGCAGTTCTCTGATTGCGATCCGAGAACTAAGCGATCCGAATTTCTTATTTTTTAAGTTGAAAGAAACGGAAGTTCTGCACCGAGCCGACCTGCGTACAAACGCGTATTCGTCATTTGCATTTTTGACTCTGAAGCGTTAACTTCCTGTTTGATTAGGTTTGTGTCTCCACGGCTTCTACTTTTTGCTGTAAATTCTTTCTCTACGCTTTATTAAGTCTCAATACATTGTTTCAAGACTTTTGTTTCATTGCATCTCACTATTAAAGCTTTCTAACGATTACCGTCATTTTTTACAACATGTGTACACTAATAATAATAATAATAATAATAATAATAATAATAATAACCCGGAACTTTGTAATAGATCGGAAAAATTGTGGAATATTAAATGTGGATTATGTAGATTAGCCTGGGATAATTATATCAAATCACTCTACGAGTACCATGTACCCGCATGATTGGGTCGGTAACTAAACATAGACTTTTCTGCGTTTATAAAAAAACAAAACCTCTCAAAAGGCGGATGGACCTTCATGTAGGGTCAATGGCCATCTATGAAAATAGTTTAGACTTGTCTTCATAGCTATATATGCAGCCAATGCAGTGATGACACGACATCGATTAGTGGAGAGCTTCCTAAGCTGAAGTCAACGACCAGGGTTTCCGCGATGAAATCAACAGCAACGTGTCCGGAACAAAGACGAGATTTCAATTTGAAGTACACTGGTTCTGGTTTACCTTAGAGAGAGATGGGCTTCGTCAGGTCTACTTGCTCTAGAGACGATACATATGAATGAATAACTCTTCGGCTTTCAACCCAGATATTTAGAGAGAGCTGATAAGCTACTTAATTGTGCAGCAACCATGCGTCCACAGCCGGTCATGACGATGATTGTAGTTGCATTAGAAACAGTGCCAAAAGTAAGAGAATTGAGATTAAATAAGTTGTAAGTTCAAAGAATGGTAGAGAATGTACGCTATTACTGGGTTTTGCGAGAAATGGTGAGAAAGTACTTGAGATTTGCTGTCACTCGTTCTCTAGCTATGACCCAAAGAAAACTGATGTAGACTTTTTGTCATTTGATGAAAGCAGTGTTGGTCGCATAATTGTTGCTTTCAAATCAGCATGTTTATGGAATTATATAAAAGAATAGGCCAAATGTCATGATTTTCATATTTTATTTGTATGAAAAAAGACATCTAGTGAGATCAAACAAATGAATAATAATAGTAATAAGCCAGGATCTCACCTTAGAGCTGGGAAAGTTGTTAAATATGAAGGTGTTGTGGATTCCGGGATGAAATCCGGTTTCAAATGAATGACAAACGCAGGAATGAAATATAGCAAATAAATGTATTGACGTAATAATACAATTGGTTAGTAGATCCAGAAATGTGGTTAGTAGCAATAATAATATATATATAGTCTGGGAAATTCAGTATCGAAGTAGGACTTCCTTCTGAGTCTACGTGCTCGCAACTGTGACTCCTACAAAGCGGTTGCCTCACACTCTCACTCTCTCACTATATCACACTCCCGGGTATTCACCGGAAGCAGTACAAGTACACACTTGTATATAAAAAGGGGTGGACCCCTTAACAGAAGGTGAGGATCGTGCCATAATAGAAGGTACAATAGAAACATTAGCAAAAGCAATAGACTTTAGACAAGATAGAAACTCTAACACAGCATTGCCAGAATCCAAGAAAATACTGAGAAGGGTACTGGAAATCTACCAATGGGTACGTGACAACTAATGTGAATATGCAAAAGAAAAGAGATATCTATAACTATTTACATTGCTCAGACTGTTGTCTTCATCTTCATTGTTATATTCACGACGTTTCGACCGTTGTACGTTCCGGCCTTCTTCAGGTGATATTTATTGTAATTTCGAACCATGGGCCATGTGTTACAGTGAATAATCGTTGACTGATCTAAAAGTGACTTGAGCCAAAAAGTTGTCAGTTAAATACCTGGCCACAGCAGCGAGAACAAAAACTTGGAGCGTTGGGTTATCAAACTGAGATATCCAAAGGCATGGCACGTGGAATTAGAACAATCTACCCACCTGGACTAAATAAAGGGTACGGTTCGAAATTCCAAGAAATATCACCTGAAGATGGCCGGAACGTACAACGACCGAAACGTCGTGAATATAGCAATGAAGATAAAGAGAGGGAATCTTAGGCATATTTACATGCAAATCCGACCCCAAAAATGTAAAAGGAAAAAAAGGGGACGGCGACATACTCAAACAGCTTCTTCCTGCGAATCACTGCCCTGTGGAACAGACTCCCAAGAGGATATTTCCCCGATCATTACAATCTTAACCCGTTCAAGTCTAGAATTAGCCGTTATCTTCCCTTTTATCCATATAAACCTCGAGTGGCACCTGGGCCTTGTACAGGGTGAACCTTACTGTAAAAAAAAAAAAAAAAAAAATTAATAGTCTGAATGATGTAGTGTAAATAAAAAGAAATGTGTTTCAATAAGTTTATTTGTAAAATAGCAAAAAAAGTTATTTACTTTATTTACATTCAAACTAATTTCCTTATTTTTGTTGTTATTATCACAACGTTTCGGTTGTTGTAACCCCGAACTTCGTCAGGGAAATTCGAACTGATCCGTCAGAAACACTGTGATGATAACAACATCGATGAGCATATGAGTCTGACGCTAACTAATGTAAATAATTTTAAGTCATCGTTCCAGAAATGAATACAGAATACAGAATTTACCAAATTACTAAAAAAAAAAAAAAAACCTAACAAAACCTGTTGCAATAGTTTTGACGTAAAAGACTAATTCATATAAATCCATTCTTGAAGAAATTTTTTTATCATTTTCGATTTCTTTCAATGTACTAGTTTTATTTATTTATTCATTTTCTTGATGTTGGTGATAATCCTTGGAAAGAGAGAGGAAGTCACATCCTATTACGGGAACCACCCAATTATTGCTCTTGCGGCTAACCACTCCCTCCTTGCTATCTTCTTCCGTCTTAAAATGTTCGTCTTTCTGTCAATTATTTAAATGCTGAAGTCAGGAGATTTTATTTGCTTCTTTACGTTTTCAAATATTTTGATGATGCTGTACGCCTTTCCGACATTTTATTTTTTGCTTTTCTTCTACCTAAACTTTAAGTTACATCAGCTATATAACTGATAATATAGGAAACAATCATTTTCAACACTTACAATATATCCTAGAAATCATCATCATCATCAATAAGAACAACAACGCAGAATTTAAACATTAAAAATATGAATGTTTGAAGAAGCTATATTATTCTGTTGCAATTAAAACGTCATTGTAATCAGTTATTGATTTTTACTTTATTTTCATTTTTACTATCTTGTCCCTTCAGGACGTAGGCGTTCATGGCTCTCCTCAGATTCGATTTTTTATTAAACGTGAATGGCCACGCGTTCTTAGCAAAGATAGTGGAGTGATATAACGTTGTTCTCTCCACGGTTTAGAATTCATAGTTTTCCTTCTCTTAGGTTGGTTGCCACTCAAGGCTAGAGAGCCCAGTTTTCCTTGCGATTTAACCTATAGTTGGAGGAGGGGAAGAAGAGACAGAACCATGCCTTTCTCAAGGGTATGTATTTATTGATTCGTTTTTCTACGGCTTATCAACCCTTTGCAGGTTATTTAAAGCCAGAAAATAGTTGTAGATTGTAAGAATATTTTTTAGATAATAATGATTTAGTGATACAAGTCTTACTATTTAACCCATAGCTGAGGTGGATTCATACATTTCCCAAACGTATTTGTATGTAAGTGAACTCAACTGGAATTGGAACTCGGCTCTCCGATTAACAATTCCGAGCCATTATTCATTACACCACCCGCACATCCAAACTTACAGCAGCTGATATTTCTAAGCGGTTACCCATCTGGATACTGACCAGTCTCAAAGTTGCTTAAACTTCGGCGATCGAACGGGAACCGGTGTTTTATCGTGATGTGGTCGTAAGCTCTAAGGTTATTTGTGAGAAAGAGAACACAACTGACTAGCTCGGAACTTGAACACGGTTCGCCAATTCCACGTACAGCACCGATATCCGTCACACTACCCATCATATCCTTGATGTTTTCTGGTTTAATTTCAAGAATGCCTCTTACGAAAACGTTCTGAGTATAGATTAAAAATTCATATGAAAAAAAAATTTAACTTTCTTTTTTTAAATCGAAATCACCCCAAGCAAGACAGTAATGCGACTAAAATACAAGGAGTTACAGGGTGTAGAAGAATTAGAAACATATATATTAATGATGAGCGGGAAGAGAAGGAAGAGGAAAGAATAATCAGGTGAACAGTAAATAACGATTGATATTGCTTTTAAATTTTTGAAGATTAAAGTTGGATGGAAAGCATCAAGCCGGAAGGGAGTTCGACAAGCGAGAAATGTGAGGGAAGAAACTGTTAGCATAGAATTTACGGTTACATCTAGTCAGCTTACCTGTAAATTGATGGGATCTCGACGCCAGTATAGTGCTGCACTTAAGTTAAAAACATGCCAGAGGGTATCGCCCAGACGAGACTATGTCGAATGGCAGAGTCTCGTCTCGGGAAACTAACTCCGTTTTTACAAGGGCTATAGGGAATTTTTGCTTGAGCCTACAGACTCGGATACCCCACGTTAAAACTCGGCCTTGTGTCACATCTTGTTGCGTGGGGCAGTATATAAATAATACTTAAGTTAAAAAAACTATAGGTACCATAGCTAAGAGCTCATCAGAACAATTGCCAACTTGATTTATAAAGCCTGAGATCAACGATGCGATGAAAATTCTACCTCGGTTGCAACTGCAGCACCAAGACGAACTTGCCTTTAGACCCTGTGCTTCATGACTTCAATGATATACCAGATTTCTTACTAATTCGATAAATAAGGAGATTATTACTCACCAAGAAGGACTGTTTGTTGCTGGTCATAAAAACGGAACCCTAAAAAAAATATTTCATACCAGTAATTTCATTTATTTCCCGAGAATTCGTGAGTGTAATGGGTGAGTTAATAAAAATCTTTGATTTCAAGAACAATTATGCTAGCCATGTTGATTCCGATAACAGAAGAATCTAGGAATTTGGAGCTTAAGATCGGAAGAAAAATGTACGGGTTTGACTCGCACCCGAGAAACACGATGCGTTTGTGTTCAAACATGAGATAAAAATGGTGGACAGTTGAATGACAAACTAGGAAAAATCCTACGTATAGCTTTTCGTATCTGATAATGACTTTTTCGGACTAAATAATGTTTTTTTTTTATTGATGGAATAATTTATTAAGTAGTAGGCAACGAAATATAACAAACATCGGTTATAGTTATACTGAAGGTGCTAGGAAGATTAAGTTTAAGTTAATTTTTAAATTTCTATTGTCTGATGTGTGCAGAAGCACAACATAGCCGACCTCATTCAGTTTCCTGCCCCTTTCTTTTGATTTTTTGTTTTATTGTTGTTATTTTAAATATCCAACAGGCTATATGAATCTGGACGTAAATTTACCGTGGAAAACTCAGAAACTAATACACTATACATTTTCACTTTAAAATTTACTTTCACTTCAGCATTCTTCAAGTTGAAATCATGATCAGACTTATTGAGATGAACAACTAATGTATTGAGTGTTATTTTCTTTTCTTTTTTAAGCATTCCACCCCAAGCAAGGCGGGGGTGCAACTAGCACGCAAGGGGTTACAGAGAGTGGAAGCAATAGTAAAGAGGCATGATGGAGGAAAGGATGAAGAGAAGGACGAGGAATTAGCTCAAGGCATCTGAAAATGTCGATTGACATTTGAATATTTGGAGATTATAGCTATCAGGGAAGCAAATAAGAGGAAGGGAGTTCCACAGATGGGAAGTGGGAGACACGAAGCTATTGGAGTAGAAGAGGCGGCTACATTTAACAGTTTCGACAGTGAAAGGGTGGGATTGAGATGCCAACTTATTAACAAGCTTAAATTCATGCAGTTTGGGAACCAGCGAAAATAGCTCGTCGGAGCAGTTATCGTGAAAGTATTTATAAAAAAGACAGAGGGAAGCGACGGCACGTCTGTGAGAGAACGACTGTAAATCTATGTATTTCTTATTTTTACACTTCTGTAAATTATATGATTCCACCAGTAAAAACATTATTTAATTTGAAGAACTCCTTTTGAAGAACAAAACGCGTTTTTTCGCATTTTGCGAAAAAAACGCGTTTTACCCACCATTACTTTGATATATAGATTTTATATATTGTATTCTCTCATACGATTTTTAAAATTATTTCACCCCAAAAAAGGCGATAATGCCACTATGGTGCCAAGGCTTACTGAGAGTGAAAGAGAATGAGAAAATTTTAGTGGGAAGAAAGGACAACGAAAGAACAAGATTCAAGAAGACAGAAGATGGTGATTGACGTTGAATTTAAATTTTTGAATATGATGAGTGACCAGGAAGCAAGAAGAAGGAAGTGAGTTCCGCTTCCATACATTAAAACGTTTTGAGCATTACAATGATTTGTTCAGTTATAATTCTTACTATTTAACCCATAGTTGGAGGAGAAGCGATTGATTCATATTTTCCTGCATAAATTAATGTAAGGAACCTGCCTGGAATTCGAACCGGATCTCCGATTTTTCATTCCGAACTGCTATCCATTAAAATACCCGCACACCCACAAAACGGCGTAAATGTTTTTAAACTCTGACAAAATATGAAATTAAGGCTTGAGCAGTTCCTGTTCACATATGGCAACAATCCACCATTTTTGATCTGATTAAACTTTTGTTTGGATTTAGGGTTTATTTGTTTTACAACATATCAACCTCAATGGGTTATTTAATGCCGACAAGATTTTAGGATAGATTCGTATGAATAGAATATGTAATCAGTTTGTAGATCAGGTTTCATTAGAGTATTTTTGTAAAGAGGGTTTTTGTCGAGAGTCAAATGTATTGCGAGTAATATTTCTTTTCACATATGTATTAATGTTAATATTTTTCAAAAATGTATTGCTGGTAATATTTTTTTTCCAAAAAATGTATTACTAGTAGTTTTACTATAAAAATCTATTTTTATACTTTCAGTGCTCTGACCCCAGTTTGGAGGTTAATTATTTGTTCATAGCTGGAACCTTAACATTTGCTACCACCCCGGATCAGAGTGGACCTGGGAAGAACAACAATTAAGAGGTGGTTCAACGCACCTCAAAACCTCACGATCAGAGGCTATGCTGCCAGATGTAATTTATCGTCATTCAAACTTTTGTAAAGATCTTGTGATGAGTCAGAAAACACTCAGCTTAATAAAGGATGAATCTATTTTCAACTGAATTTAATGTCCTGTTTGATATAGAGCGGTTATTACATCTGGCAACAGAGACAAACTTGATATATACTTGTCTACGGAAGCATGAAAGTGCAAAACAAAATGCATGGTTTGCAGAATGTTACTTGCTTACTTTACTCTCCATTATTAACAACACGCGGAAATAATTAAAAAAAGGATTCACTGGAAGCAGAAGATGTCCGCTCTAATTCTGTCAATGAAAACAGTGATGTGGCTCCTTGAAATTATTAAATTGCAGTTTTTCTTCTGGCAATTACTCCTTCGCCATACCAAGAAGTAAACTATATATACTGGCAATGATTTTATCTCGTAGACATTCGCGAAGTAGAATCAAGCTATTTAATAACGTTTATATGTGCATTAAAATTGTTATGGCAAAAAGAAATGACAATGTAGAAAGTAATAATGAAATAAATAAGGTTTTAAATTGCAGGCAGATAATATGAAATGGCTGACATGATGCTCCGAGTGGGGCGCAATAGTTCCAAATGCGGAAACACTTATATATGTATATCTGGAACTAATTTAGTAAATTGAGTAAAAAAGTAAAGAAAAAATAGAACAAGGTTACAAAAATATAAAAGTATTCCTTTTTTCCCTTTTAGGAATCAAGTGACAACAAGGCTTATCAGTAATTCCGTGTTTTCTTTAATATTAAATTTCAATAATGCTTTATTTTTTATTAATTGTTCACTCAATATAAAGTCCAAGTGTCAATCAAGGTAGAGGGTTACTGAATGAGGTTGTTGTATGAACGTAAGAAGTGGGGTAAGAAGAGCAGATCATGAAGACATAACGGTTGACCCTAGACATCAAGACGTTCAGAATGTAGTGATCGAGGAAGCATCCACTCAGGAGTCCGTTCCACAAAGTAGCGGCTTTCGAGATGAAGCTTTACGAAGGGAACTTCCTCCTAAATAACGGAATGCGAAGGAAATGATTCGTCTCCGTGTGCGTCTTATGACAGGTCCTAGATGTGAAGGCCTGAAGTAGTTGAATTAATAAATGTAGCTCGTTGTAACGTTTGCCATGAAAAAAGCGACAGAGCAGCGAGAGGCTTGCGACACTTGATCTGTGGGAAACTGGTTGTAGAGAGGAAAATAATTCATCACCTAAATAATTACCAGGTAAATGCTTTTGGACGTTTGTCAAAACTGGAAAGTGCAAACTGGGTAGCCCCAGCCGATTCGTTTACATAATTTCCAGTGACTATTCTTTATTTTTAATCATCACTCCAAGCAAGGCAATACAGCCACTAAGACGCAAGGGGTTACTTAGTACAAGTGAATATTAGAGAAAGAAAGCAGTATTAAGGAGAGATAACAATGAACGAACAGGAATTAAAAAGACAGAAGATAATGATTGATATTGCATTTAAATATTTGAGGTTCAAAGTTGACTGGAAATCAAGGAAGAAAAGAGTTCCACAACTGAGAGAGAAGACACTGACAGCATAGAAGTTAAAGTTAAAATAAGCCAAAATGATGAGACCTTGCTGCCAATCTAGTACTGCGCTTAAATTCATAAAGTCTAAGTACCAAAAGCTCATTAGAAATATTACCATGAAATTATTTCTAGAAAAGGCACAGGGATGCTACTTTTCGGTGGTGGGAAAGTGACTGAAGCCGAGATGCCAA